ATTCTCACAAGTATACGTGGCGCTTCCTTAGACAATGTCCAGAGTCCCACATTGAAACTCCACTCAAGATGCACACCTCCCAAAGTCTATAAGATGAGGCTTAAGTCCTAAAAAGGAGGTAACTACGACATTTGGTAATCCTGCCATTACTTTGTTCAGATCACTATTCCCTCCGTACTTATTCTAATTTAAGCATTGGAGAGCCTTCGGCTTCGGCCTATACCACACCGATGCCAAAAGGCTTATCGAGCGTCCATTCTCTTGCAGATCGATCGCTCTACCGAAGCTCATATGCGGCCGAAGGTGCCATCATCACTAAGTTGGGCCCAAAAGTATCCGACCATTTTTTAGAATCAACAGGTTTGATTAATTGAAGGAGAAGGAAAAATGCTGGTTAAGGATTGATTCAATTGATGTGGTTGGGTTAGTGGCTATCGGAGAGAGGGGAAGGATGGAATGGGTGGTCATGTATAGAGATAGAAGAAGAGAAAAGAGGTGGAGAGAGTTTTTTTTCAATTTTTTTTATAAAATATTTATTATTTTTAAATAATTTGTGGGTTTCTTAAATCCCACATCATTTGCCACATCATCATCTAATAGGGCATTTGACATAATGACTTGTTCACGGACTCGTGCCCCCTGTGAGCCCAGCCTTGAATGAACACTTCTTTGAGGGCCCAAGTGAGCGTGGATATTGGACTGTGGGCCCAACCTCTTGTGCACATTGGTCCTTGGACCTAACCTTGAACAGATTGTTGACCGGCTCAGAGTACGACTTGTAGATGTCTGCGTCTCTTCAGCAAGACCTCGTTCTCTCCCCTGCTCGTTTGTCCCTGTTCGACTAGTCTGGAATCTCTCAAGATGCTCGCCGGTATACTCGCGGATCCTTCTCTCCTCGCCACGGGCTCCAAGGTCAGGGTCTTGATTCAAGTTGATCTGCTTGAGTAGTTGGCCAATTAGATTGTTTTGGTCATCGACCCTCTGCATGAGTTGATCAACCCGTGAATTAAGGCCCACTTGACTGCGTAGGTTGGGAAGAAAGGTATGGATTGGGCCCAATGACATATGGGCTAGGCCTCCATTAGATGCGTACACGGGTGCATACGTCAAGTGTGGTTGCAAAGGAGGGAGCGAATGGATTTGCTCCAAGATGGTGTCGTCGCTTGGTCCTTGCGATGGCAAGGTGGAGGAGGCCACGGGGCCATGGTTTGGTGCGGCCACGAGTGGTGCGGCAATTCCAGCCTCTATTTGGTGGTTCACGGGGGTGATTTGCGGCTGCAAGGAGCTGTCCCCACGGTTTGGTGGCTGTTTGATTGCTACAACAGCTGTTTGGAGAGGTTGTGAGGCCTCAGGAGGTGGTTGGATGACATGGGCAGCCACCGGGGGCTGCTGGAACTCGCTAAGGGTCTGTTGGGAAGCGTTGGCAGCCGTGGAAGGCTGCTGCAAAACGCTGGCAGCAGCTGTACCTCGCGGTGGCAGAGAGGTTTCAGCCGTTCTGGAGTGCGCCGTCACCGTGGTTTTGCTCCTAGGGCGTTTGCTTCCAACCATGGTTGTTTGGAAGGCTTCAGTGGATTGGAAAATAGGTTTGGAGCACTCTTTGAGTATATCTCGTGCTCTCAATGAAAGCACCAATTTGTGGGAGCGCTTCTCGTCCCACGAGAATATTCGTCGATAGATTCCCCTTTCTTCTTCGTTGTCTCTTTCTCCCTGCAAAATAAATTGGAATAAAAGGACCACACCCGGGGGGTGTTGGCCAAAGGCCCTCCGATGCCTAAGTTAGTTCAAGTGTTTGTAGGAAAATAATAGCTAAAGAAAAGGGTATGGAGTTGTATGTGTGGTGTGAACCGGGTGGCCGGAGCCATGTGTGAGAGAGAGAAAGAGTATGGCGGCTAGGGTTTGTGAGAGGGAATTTCTGCAGAGTTTCAGATAGAAATTTAGACGTACCTCAACCCTTGTGCATAGCCATCTATTTATAGGAGCCTCTAGGCGTACACATCAAATTCATACATACAGCTTAAACACAAAACAACTTCTTTACAACCTTCAACAACAATAGAAAGAAGAAGAAGTAGAAATTACCTATGTCCAAAAAATAATAGCAACGTTCAACTTTAATATAAAGTATTGGGTTTTGGCTGAGTTTGATATGATCCGACCCATTTAAGTTTCAGACCAAAAACAGGAGAAATACAGGTCGTGATCTTTCTCAGTTCTCAACTTCTTGCACAAAAGAATTTGACGAAGAGAAGAGAAGAGGAGAAATGAGTGGAGAAGAATTAGCGGGCCCCCCAGCCCCAAAGCTCCTCCTTCTGCTTTATGTTGGTTGCATTATCGACTTTAGACAGTCGAGTTAAATTGCAAATGTATTACAACTTGTTTATTGCAGAGTTGTTATAAGCTACATAGGATGTGTCATGATTTTTTTTTTAACACTAGTCAATGCGTTTTCTGATTTGGTTCTTCTCTTTTAGTTTGTAAACAATTTTATTGTATTTTCACTTGTCTGCATGCGTTTAGGGTTTCTTTTCCCCCATAACTTTATGAACCGAACAACATATATCCTTTAAATTTGAGTCCAGTTACTTTGAAATGATGAAGAAAAAAAAAGGGAAAAGCAAACTGAAAATGCAAAATAAAAAGTACAAATTAATAATATATATCTAGCCTCTAAGCCTTTTTTTCAATGTGTTGATGCAGACAGTTATCATCATATAGAGCCTATCTTGTAGATTATCTATGAAGTGAAAATACGCATATATATCTCCATGTCTTGTTAATTACTAAAGAACCACACACTCCCCAAAATCCTACTATGAACCCCAACATAGTGAAAATATAAAACCACGGAAGTTGATGATGCCCATTGCCCTTGTCTTTGTTGTTCTTCTTATCTGCATCCATGTCCTTATTTGGTTCGCACTTATTTGGAAGTGGGGCACCACAAAGTTTTGGATTCCCCTCAAAGGCAGAAGTGTTAAAGCTTTGGAGCTGGGTGCTTGTTGGTATTGGTCCTTCGAGGTTATTGTATGAGACATTAAATTCTCTTAAGAAATTAAGGTGCGCCAATGATGATGGGATTATTCCAGACAAGTGATTCATGGAGAGTTTCAAAACCTCTAAAAATTTTAAGTTAGATATTTGGTCTGGAATGACGCCGGAGAAGTTGTTGGAATCAAGACCCAACAGCTAGAGAAGCTGCAATTGGCCGATCTCAGTAGGTATATAACCACTAATGTTATTGTTAGATAAGTCTATCGTTGCTGGACAAGAAGACAATTTTAGTTGTAGATAACTTTGATTTGGTAGACAGTTTTTTATTTATTAGGGTTTAGGGTTTAAACTTATCTAAAAGAGACCATTTTGACTATTTAGCTGTTTAAACTTATTATGCAAACTTGTTTATGCATGTGAGTTTATGGTCTCTTTTGAGATACTGTTGTTTTAAATAACATTGCGGATTGACTCTTGCTAAGTCGTAAAGGGGTACTTGTACTGAAATTGAATAAAGATTCACATTAAAGATCAATACATATTAAGGTTCACGTTGTAGGTGCTTCATGTGTTTTGAGATTGCATTATGTGATTATAGATGGCCTGTTTTTAATAAATAGAGCAGTGTTTGTCTATAGTTCGTTTTGTCTAATCGCTCTTCACGGTAGCTTGAGGGGAAGGACTTAACTGTTTTAAACTCATGGCCAATAAAGATTATCAAACTTTTCGGAATACAGAAGCTTAGTATTCTAGTGCTTGATCTAGTGGGAGAATGTTATGTTTTCCTATTTAGATCGGTGCACTAGATGCTAAGTCACATCAGGTTTGATAAGGGTTTAAATTAAGTCGTACCTTGAGGCCCAAAACCTTGTGAGATAAGGAAAGGTTTTAAGGCCTATTAAGGAGTCCTATTTTTGTTTCCCTTTTTGTGTGAACCGATTAAGTGGGCTTGGAAGATTAGTCAAGTCGGCCCTCGGTGATGAGTAGAGACGACTTGACCTAGCCCTATATAAGCTTAAGGCCCTGCTCTCATCAGACACGTTCTCTAAACCTATTCTCATCATAAAGACAGAGCTGAAACATATTCTGAGAGAGAGCAGAAGTTCTTGAGCCGTCACTGTTAAATCGCTAGGATTGCTGCGCAACGGATAAGATGAATTCAGAAGCTGTGTATTCAAGGAAGATGGCTCCAGGGACATTTTTCATGTCCTTATACGTATTACATGTTTGTGTGAAAGATCTAGATTATATAACTAAAGAAATCTAACATGTGGCTCAAGCACAACCTCTTCATAAATTGCCAAAGATAGAAAGGCTATTAATAACTCTTGAATTTTCTTTCTTATCTTGAGTGGTGCAATGGTTGCTTCATCCGATCATTCACAACTGGAGCAATTTCCCTTCCCTTTGAGCTAAGCGATTAGTTTTGCAGATACTTCATATTGGTAACATATGTTACCATAGAGATACTAATATATTAACAGACAAGTGAGAGAGTAGTTCTTATCATTTTTGACCGGGATATAACTCATGCTCCCATACACAAATATGTCCCAAGCACAAGCTCCTCCACTCCAAAATGAAATTCTGAATGTCTTCATTGGCTTAGAAGCCCTGAACGCACACCTACATATGTATGTGTTTCTTCCTCATGTGTATAGACAAAGTCCACAAATTTTTGTCAGCGTATGAAATGCATGATCAGTTGGGATATCAAATATTTTGATGATAAATGATTCAAGGCATGAGGGCGCTCACCATACGCTCCTTAATATCAACAAGCAATGAACCAAGTTAAAAAGACATGAAAACAAATGGCGACTTCAATATTCAAACATAACCTTTGAGCCCCACATGCCAAAGCACAGCAGCAAGGGAATTCCAATCCAAAACATAGACATAGACATCAATCCTTCACAATTGACAACCGTATTACATGAATATGCATAAGTTTTCATATCTTTGGACGGAGTATGCAAAATAAAAAGTACAATATTAATAATATATATCTAGCCTCTAAGCCTTCTTTTCATCGTGTTGATGCGCACTGTTACCATCACATAAAGCCTATCTTGTACATTGTCTATGAATCGAAAATACGCATATCTCCATGTGTTGTTAATAACTAAAGAACCACAGACTCCCCAAAATCCTACTATGAACCCCAACACAGCGAAAATATAAAACCATGGAAGTTGATGATGCCCATTGCCCTCGTCTTTGTTGTTCTTCTTATCTGCATCAATGCCCTTATTTGGTTCGCACTTATTTGGATGTGGGACACCACAAAGTTTTGGATTCCCCTCAAAGGCAGAAGCGTTGAAGCTTTGGAGCTGGGTGCCTGTTGGTATTGGTCCTTCAAGATTATTGTACGAGGCATTAAATTCTCTTAAAAAATTAAGGCTCACCAATGATGATGGGATTATTCCAGACAAGAGATTCATGGAGAGGTTCAAAACCTCCAAATTTTTTAGGTTAGATATTTGGTCTGGAATGACGTCGGAGAAGTTGTTGGAGTCAAGATACAACTCCTGGAGAAACTGTAACTGGCCGATCTCAGTAGGTATATCACCACTAATGTTATTGTTAGATAAGACTATCACTGTTGGAAAAAAAATACAATTTTTGTGTTGGAAAAGTTTGAATTGCTTTTACCCTGCGGCTGCCGTAGACAGGCAATTCAAATTCATATTGGTATGCTTGAGATGCAATATTAGGTCCATAAAGCAACATTGGTAGTCTACAAAGTTTCTTTGGAAATTCACCTGAAATTCGGTTGTTTCACAAGTTTATATAAAACAGCCTAGGAAGAGTCCCCAACCAACTTGGAATTGGCCCTGTGATTTGATTGAAACTCAGTTCCAAAAACTCTAGATTCTTGAGCTTTGAAAACCATGCAGGTATTTGACCAGTGAGGTCAGAACCAGCCAAACTAAAAAGCCGAAGATTTTGGAATCCGTCAAAATCAACCATGTCATCATCATATGGCATTCCCTCACCTTCATAGGAACCAGCAAGCGAGAGTGTGTGAAGACTTTTGAAACTCATCAATATCTTCATTGCCCATGTGAGGTTGGTGAATCGGCTGCCACCAAGTACGAGGAAGGACAAGGATTTCAATGAAAGAATCTCAGCTTGTATTTGTCCCTCTAGATGATTTTTAGACAGCCCAATGGCTTTAAGGGACCTACATGAGTAAAGGCTTACTGGAACTGTACCAGTGAAGTTATTGGACCTTAGGTCAAGTTTAGTAAGTTGACTCAGTCTTAAGAAATCAAGCATGGAGATATCTCCTTCCAAGTGGTTGGATTCCAAACGTAGTTCTACAAGGTTTGTGCAATTCATCAAAGATGGGGGCAAAGCAACACTTCCATAGCCCAGGAGCAAGGTTGCCACTGAATGCATTGGAAGAAAAATCCAATAGCCTAAGGGAGGGAGAAGAATGGAGACAAATAGAGGATGGGACATACCCTGTGAAGGTATTGTTGCTGACATTGAAACTAGTCAAGTTGCTAGCTTGTTGGAAGAATGAAGATGGAATTGCACCAAAGAAGTGATTGCTAGACAAATCGACTATATGGATATTGCTGGATGGTAGAGAAAGTGGTAGCTCTCCAGAAAGACGGTTATAGCTCAAATCGAGGATCTCAAGTCGATTCAAATGCAAGAAGAACTGAGTTTCAAGTGAACCAAGAAGTGAATTGTGGGAAAGGTTCAAGTGGGTGAGATGTGTGAGATTTGCAAGTGAAGAGGGAGAGATACCTCCTTTAAGCCCTTTGGAAGGCAAGAGCAAACGGGTGACCCAACCATCTTGATCACAAGTGATGCCCTTCCAACGACAGCAATCAATGGATGTCCAATTTAAAGGAGGAGAAGAGAGAGTGGAGGCAAAGGACAGAAGGGAGTTGCGTTCAGTTTGTTTACAGGCATGAATATTTGTGGATATAATGTAAGGGAATAAGAGGAAGAGAAGTAAAGCATGAGCCATTAGGTTATAAGCTTGCACTAGCATGTTGCTTTGTGTATGTGCCGTTGCTTGCATGTATATTTATATATATAAGAGCAAACATGCTTGAAAAGGATGCAAACATCTCTGCAAATTGAGAAGTCGGCAAACATATTGAAACCTTTGGGCCACCAGGAGAGGACTTGGCCTTCACAAAGTACTCAAAGTTATTTTCCTGATAAACGTTTTCTTTTCTTTTTTTTTTCACAAAAAAGAAAGAAAGAAGATAAACAGAATCCTTGTTGAATTCAAACTCAAAGTCCTTTTTTTAATAACTCAAAGTCCAAGTTCAAAGTTTTTTTTCTTGTTTTTCTTGTTGTGCCGTTGCTCAGTGCAAATTAGGTATATATATGTAAGAGCAACCATGCTTGAAAATTTTGACCCAAAAAAAAAAAAACCATGCTTGAAAACGATGCAAACATCACTGTACACGTATGTCAACGAGAAGTTCATTGGGTCTAATTTAAAGGCCGCAACGAGTTCAAAGTACTCAAATTTGTTGTCGATCCCATTGATAGTTTTTCTTGGAAAGACGGCATGCATGCCACACATGGCCTGAGGGTGACCGTGCCACACATGTTAATCTACAGGGGCCCCACTATTGCACGCAATAACAGGTTTATGAGCTGCCATTGCCTCCAGCGTTCATTCTGCATTGTTGATTATCTCATATATCATATATCAATTTCATTTTCCAACCTATATCCCATCAAAACGGACAGATAGGCATTGGGAGAGAAGTGCATTTCTTTTCAGCTGTTGAGCAAGATGTGATAATATGAAGTTAACCTGATTGGCCACGGGTGTATCTGTGGCTTATATATATGAAGCTTTTCTAATAGTGAATGCCACATTAATGTCAACTAGTCAGACATTGAAGTTGCACGGCGGGTTTGGGTTATCGAAACTAAGGACTATGCATAACGTGTCTGCTAGCTCATACAGTAATCCGAAGTGCATATGATACTGTTTACCCAGCATCCACAACCCTCTAAATGGCGAACACGTAAGAATCCCAATATGACCTAACTGTACATTAAGAAAAGATTTCATATCTGAAAATGTTTAGACTAATACGGTAACAAAATTTTGTTTAAGCTAAGTACCGATTTGCTAAACTATGAGGCTTTCTTGTTGTGCCGTTGCTCAGTGCAAATTAGGTATATATATATAAGAGCAACCATGCTTGAAAACGATGCAAACATCACTGTACACGTATGTCAAAATAACAACCACTGTAAATTGAGAAGTCAGCAAACAACAACCACACAATGCAAATTATTAATATTGAAACCCCTCCATACGTCGAAGATATATTTCCACAACAACCACTTAAGAGGGGGCCACCAGGAGAGGACTTGACCTACTGAATTTGAGGCCTTCACACAAAGCACTAAAAGTTGTTGCCGTGATATATGGTGATAATTTTTCATGGAAATTTTTGGAAGATATATGGTGTTATTTTTCACTAACCTTGCTTGAGAGTGACGTGGCCTAAGATATATGGGCATAACTGCCACTAATCTTGCTTCTAAATAATCCCTCTTGATTTGGGTTTGTTTGGAATGGAATGAATGAACTAATGATGAAGTGAATTGGGTTGTATTCACCATTGTTCCTGTATTTAAGTTACTAAGCCAAGCACAAGCACTCAGAGAAAAAATTATACATATAATTGCTTTCTGGGTTTTGTTTAGATTGTTCAATTGATTAGGAGGATGATTAATCGATGAAAAATAAGAGAGCATTGCCCCATCATAGTGGTTTCATTAAACAGTCCTCTGCTTTCTGCAAATATGTGCACTACATGACATTTGGAATTCATGTACAGCAAAGATACGATTAATCCAATCAGATACGACCCTGAAAGTGTAATCATATTCAAATAAATAGGCAACCAGGTTCGCACCCAGCAATAAGCCAAACAAAATATCATTCCCCTGTCTAGTATTTTCTCCCCTATGACCTGACTGAAGAGAGCGAAATTCAATCCAAGAATCCTGCTATCCCAGGTCAACCTCCCATCACTATGACCTGACTGAAGAAACTAATCAGAAGAGAGAAGAAAAAATCACCCCACGAGGAAGAAGAAAACTGGGGGAGAGAGAAGAAGAAAAAAAGAAAGAGAGAGAGAAGAGAGAGAAAAGAGAAGAAATAGATATAAACCGTTCAAATGCGTGATATGGAACTGAAAAAGATATTGAAAAACGAAAAACCCGCTGTCGCGAACGAACAGTGGCATTCGAACCCCTTTCCTTTCCCATCCTCTTTGCCGACCTTATCCAAAACGCTGCTCATGAAATTGTGATTAAGAAGCTACAACGTTAACATTTATACTGCCTCTCTAACTTTCTACAGGCTTTTGACAAAAACAAGGGAAAAAAACTTTCTACAAGCTTATTTTAATGTTATTTATTATTTTAATCTTTCCTATGATATATTTAATCTGTTTAATGTTATTTATTATATTATTATGGAGGTTTATTATCTATTATCTATCTATATATAATGCAAAAGGTAAAGAAGGTGTACTAAATTATCTATACCTATAAAGCAAAAGGCAGAGAAAGGTAAAACATTCAAAATATCAGAAAATGCCCTTGGTTAATGCAAACATTAAGAATTGAAATTATTATTTAAATGAGGATAATATGGTAAATTCACACTTTTTTCATATTTAAAATTAAATTAAATTAAAAGAAAAATCAGATCATGGATAATATTTTTATGGAACACAACTACCCATTATATTTTTTAATTTTGAAATAAATTTAAAATTTTAAAAAAAAGCCTCTCGCAGGTGCAAAAGCACATGCGGAGAGGCTAGTTATATATAATAAAAAAATTATGGGGTTTTTAATCTTCTTTCATTAATTACTACAAATTTGCTAAAGTCATAGTATTTGTCAGTTCGCTATATAGTTAATTTATAGGGAGCTTCACTAATATACCCAAAATGGGTGTTGAAATTATAAAAAAACCTCATATGGAAAACACTTTATAAACACACCCAAAACCCATTTATTAAATAACAAATTGGTATTGAAGTTACTATATATTACAAGGCTGCCACTTATAAGCCCAACAGAAAAAAACTCAAAAGACACCCAAAATCAACCCAACCCAAATTTATAAACAAGCCCAAACATTTTAACCATCTAGAAAACCGTAACTTTTATCCAAAAAAAATGGAAAACAAAACCGTAACTTCCAGCAACTTCAATTAACCATCTTTGCCAAACGTCCCTTCAGTCATCGTCTTCATCAAAGCGTCTTCTTCATCTCTCGAAACCGAAACTCCATAACCACAACCAAGCTTGATATACTTTCAAAAACAAACACCACACACTGACCTCACCTACAAAACCAAGACAAAATTTCAGAGAATAATTTCAACAAGAAAACGATTCAAAGGTAAGACATTTACAAACCAAACCTATACTGAAATTTCAGACATTTACTATCATTATTTTAGTCGCTAGTTTACTGAAATTTCTGATTAATGGCTGTAAAGTTCCAGTATAGGGTAATAACACTGCTTGTTTCCTCTGAAATCCTATTTCTGATGCACGTCTAGCACTGTAAAGTTCCAGTATAGGGTATTAATACTGCTTGTTTCCTCTGAAATCCTATTTGTAACCCAAAATGGGTTTTGGGTATGTGTGTAATGATGGGTTTTGGGTATGTTTATAAATGGGTTTTGAGTGTGTGTAATGATGAGTTTTTGGTATGTTTATAAAGTGTTTTGGGTGTTGGGTATTTTTATAATTTCAGCCCCCATTTTGGGTATTTTAGTGAAACTACTATGCAATGCATTCCCTTCCAATTTTTTGTGATAAAATAGTAGATAATTGACTAAATAAACATCCTCTAAAATTTCAATAAAAAATTCCACGTTTTTCTCACAATTTCCATGGTTTTTATTCAATGTTTACCGATATCGATATTTTCTCGATATTTCCATCGATATATCCTTGTTTTTGGACCACCGATATTTCTGAAACCCTCGATATTTTAGACCTTGATTCTGATCACTTGTTCTTGTCTTTAAGTTACTAAAGCAAGCACAAGCACTGAGACTGAGAGAGAATAATTTCTTTGTATAATTGCTTTGTGGGTTTTGTTTGTATTGTTGAATGGTATCAACTAATGATGAAGTGAATTGGGTTGTATTCACCATTGTCCCTGTATTTAAGTTACTAAGCCATGCACAAGCACAGAGATAGAAAATGATACATATAATTGCTTTTTGGGTTTTGTCTAGATTGTTTAATTGATTGAGGGAGGACCAATTGATGAAAAAGGTTGGGAGGAGGAGAAGAGAGAGAGAGAGAGAGAAACATTTAATATTTGAATCCAATTACTTTGAAAAACCACCAGAATTGAACATATAGGCTGCTTCATGACGGGCTTTGCCCTGTTTTTCAATGAAATGGGAGTAAAATGAGCGGATACTTGATTTGGTACTGACATGCCCCTAGAGTTATTCAAATGCATCTATTTTGCTAACTTAACAATGTGGCTCAAGTACAACCTCTTCATAAATTGCCAAAGACAGAAAGGCTATTAATAACTCTTGAATTTTCTTTCTTATCTTGAGTGGTGCAATGGCTGCTTCATCCGATCATTCACAACTGGAGCAATTCCCTTCCCTTTGAGCTAAGCGATTAGTTTTGCAGATACTTCATATTGGTAACATATGTTATCATAGAGATACTAATATATTAACGGACAAGTGAGAGAGTAGTTCTTATCATTATTGTGCGGGATATAACTCATGCTCCCACACACAAATATGTCCCTAGCATGAGCTCCTCCCCTCCAAAATGAAATTCTGAATGTCTTCTTTGGCTTAAAAGCCCTGAACGCACACCTACATATGTATGTGTTTCTTCCTCAT